TAGATGACTCCTCTAGGATCCCCATCCAGTTAGCGATTCATGAAATGAAGGTGAATTTCTTACCTAAGGAACTCCACAGAAAAACCTGCCACAAATCGAATCCTTTAAAAACACAGGTTTTTCAGAGTGTGCCATCCTCCATAAAGATACACTCACAAAAATACCACACAAAACAAAAAAACGACACTCACACATTCACATTCACTTCAATTAGTATAATGGTTATATAATTAGGAACTATCCCAAAAACAAATTTTGGTCTCACCTCAAATTTTTTTTTTAATTTGTTTTTTAATCTTTTTATTTACCTTTGAGAGACACACAATACACAGAAAAGCAGCAGGAGAGGAACAGTGAGAGAGAGGGAGGCACAGAATCTGTGTGCAGGCTCCAGGCTCTTGAGTTGTCATCACAGAGTCTGGCCAGCATGGGGTTTGAAGTCATTAAACTGCGGAGATCATGACTCGAGCTAAAGTCAGACGCCTAACCGGATTGAGCTTTACCCAGGCACCCATCACCCAAAAAAGTTCTCTGAAGGGTATCTTTTTGGGCATAGGCATCACATCTGTAACCCTCCTTTAGGAAATAATGGGTTAAGTGATAGTTACTGCTATACAAATGTCTGAGAGTGCGTAAAGTTTGCATTTGTTGGGCTCAAATAACTGTTCACAGACAAAAAAAAGAAAAAAAAGAAACTACAATGTGACTAAGCCTATTATCTGAGCCTTCCTGAAAACTCTCACTTAGTTTTCCACAAGACAGATTTAATAACCGTGTTAATGCACAAAGATAAACTAAAGGACCAGACCAGCCACACCGCCTGCTGCAGGCTTCCTGCCAATGAAGACATGTGATGCCCCTACTGTTCTTGTTCATAGCATAAGTTCAGCAGAGCACTGGTACTTCTTCTTCACAGCATTTTATAATCTTAATTGCAAACTAATTACTTATTTTGTTATTAATGCCTGTCTTCCATGTTGAAAGTCCAGAAAGGTAAGGCAAGGCTCTCATTATATCCTCAATATCTGTGCCTTGCACAGCAGATGAGGTGGTTGGGGGGGGGGGAGGGTAATAAAAAAGAGTATTCAGGTACATAGTCACTGTATTATTCACAGAAAGTGAAGCTACCTAAGGATGGCTCTCTCAAAGGATAGGTAGATATAGATATAGACAAGAATGTGGGAGAAAGGGAGAATGGTCATATATTGATGAGCAAAATGGTAAACCATTTGGGGATTTCAACATTACATTTTCTGGATTAGCATACCATGATTAATATCACATAGATATATACAGGCTGCTACATATCAGCCTGTGTGTGTGTGTGTGTGTGTGTGTGTGTGTGTGTGGGGAAAAGAGGGGAGAGAGGAGAGGGGAGGAGAGAGAGGGGAGGGAGGGGAGAGAGAGAGAGAGATTTCACGTCCACTAGATTATATGTACTGTAAGGTTCACATAGCATTGCTCAGAGTTGCTCCAAATTGGAAACAAACCAAATATCCACCGAGTGAAATGAATTAGTATGTGTGTGTGGTATATTCATACAATGGAATACTATATGGTAGATGAAAATGAATGAACTTAAAAGAATCTCAGTAAATAAACACAAAAAGAATCTACCAGGGATACAACAAAGCAAAACCAAAACAGTACAAAGAATACAGGATATTGTATGACTTTCCACTATCACAAAAAAAAAACAAAACAAAAAACAAGCCAAATGAATGATACATTTTAGGATGCAAGTAAGTTGCAAGTTCTACCAAACACTCAAAGCACCCCTAGACTGCCATAGGTTAGTAGGACAGTAACATGCAGGAGGCAAGAGAAAAGGCAGAAATCCTAGTCAGGGAAGCGAGTTTAATCCGAGACCGACTGCCAAGAGCTGAGGGGGCCTGAGCCAGGGTGTGATAAGTGGGGCTGAGAAAGGAGATATCAAAAGAGAGCCTGGGCTCAAATGGCTGCCTGACTTGGCTCAGGCTGCTTATGATCTCACAGTTCGTGGGGTTTGAGCCCTGAGTCAGGATCTGTGTTGACACGCCTGAGCCTGCCTGGGATCTCTGAAGTTCTCCCTCACCCATCCCCCTGCTCATGTCGGCTCTCTCTCTCTCTCAAAAAAATAAATAAACATTTGGGGTTTCCCAGTTGTCGGGGTCAGATGAGACCACTGACTCAGGTCATGATCTTGTTCGAGTTCGAAAGCACTGTTAATTACCACTGTCAAAGCACAGAGCCCCTGCTTCAGGGTCCTCTGTCCCCCCTGCCTCTCTGCACCCCATCCCCTGTGGATGTTCTCAAAAATAAACATTAATAAATAAATAACAATAAATAAATACATTTACTTACAAATAAGATAAAATCAAAAATAAAGAATAATAATAATACAACGCTTCTGTGCTGATAGTAATGGCTTGGGATTCTCTTCTCCCTCTTCTTCCCTCCCCTGCTCGTTCACCACCTCCTCTCTCTCTCTCTCTCAGAATAACAAACTTTTAAAAAAAATAAAGAAAAAAAAGAGATACAACAGACAGAACCTTGATGACAGGACTGACAGATAATGAGAGGTAAGGTATGATGGCGATCATAACCTCCCTTATTAAAAAAGAGGGAAGAAGGAAAGAACAGACTATACAGACTGGGTGATTATAGTATTTTACAATAGAGCTCTGAATTTTGATGTTTAAAAGATTACGAAGTTGCATTCTAAAAAATACATCATCAAGAAGAATAAAAAACTGGTAATGGATTAAAACACTTAAAATGCTAAAAACTATGCTGGGTCATCAGAAAACAGCAACACAAAAGAAGGAAAAGGGGGTGAAGCATGCCACAGGTTCTGAACATGGTGGAAAGTGCTTGGTAAAAATAAGGCAAAGATGTATATCATGGAGTCCTAGAGTAACCTCTAAGAGAATTTAACCCCTACCAATACAATAGATGCAGAAGGGGGGCTGGGTGGGGGATAGTAGTTAACTATTGATATAAAAAGAAGGTTGAAAAAGGAATTATAAAATAGGAGGGTTAAATAAGAACAAGAACAGAAGAAACACTGCCATTTTCCCGCCCAGCACACCCCAGGATGCTTCCAGAATGTGGGAAATTCCACAAGACAACCTGATTTCAACAACTAAATTAAAAGGAAAGAAGGAAGAAGGGGAAACAGTGGGTGGTATTTATAGATTGAGACATTACACTGAGTGCAGTGTGTAATATCTGATCCTGATGAATTAACTAACTGCTTAAAAAGAAAAGAAAAGAAAAAAAAATATTATACAAACCGAGAAACTCTAAACATCAACACTAAGTTAATAACGATTTAGTGAATCTTTCTTGTGTGTGATAACAATATACTTTTTGTTTAAAATGTTTTTTCACTGATTCGGTAACAAAGAAAAGGAACTACAAAGGAAGTGATATGTTATCTGAGATTTGCTTTAAAATGACCAGTTTGGCAAGGGTGGGGGGTAGGGTGTTGGGAGGCATGAAACAAGAAATGATCAAGACAGGCCGACGTGTTAACAATCATAGTAATACTCATATGGGATTTACTCTACTATTCTACTTCCGTATTCATTTGGATTGTACTGGAATATAAAATATAAAGGGACAGAAGGAGAAAGGGAGGGAGGAAAGATCTCTAGATAGAAAAGTATGTGTAGAAAATGTTTTGGCAGGATGTATCTCAAAATGTTCAAGTGGTTCTCTCTGGGCAAATGTGATCACAATTTTTAGAAAATGTTACAAATGTATCATCTCTGGGTAGGGAGATCACTGGTAACTTTTAGTCTCTTTTCTCTTTTTGCTTAGCTATGCTCTCTAGTTGTTTCTACAATGAACAGATCAGAATGTTGATTCAAAAATTATTTAAAAGGACAGAAGAAAGACTGCCAAAAAAACCCAAAGAACCTCCCACTTAAATCCACATTTTTTTAACCACTTCTGGGTCCTAGCCCTTAGCAAAAACTAATGAGAGTGACTCTCTCTCTCCCCCCAGAAAAATGCACAATCCTACAGAATTTTTCATATGATGTGAAGAAACTCTGAGATTCCTAATGAACTCGGAGGCTTTCTACGTTGTTAGCAGTTATAGTAAATAATAACAGCTGACATTTATTGCATATTTGCTACATGCCAAGCATGGCCCTATGTGCTTTCCAACTGTTAACTCATTTCACCCTGCCACGCAACCCTATGACATAGGTGCTCTCATCGTCCCCAATTGACAGAGGAGGAGAGTGAAGATAGAGAGGCTGAATGATACGCCCAGGGTCCCATAACTAAGGAATGGCAGAACCAGCAATACAAACTCAGCAGCCCGGCTCTAGAGCTGAGCTTTTCACTTCCCAATTATGAGACCATTCATAGAGTTAAGTCAAATATACCAAGCAAATGTGACGTCCTGAGTCGCACTCCGGAGACCATGACTTCAAATTCAACTAACAGTAAGTGCCCACCATGTGCCAGACTCCTCCAGACAGATGAACCCACCCAGCCCTTGCAACAGTGCTGTGAGGGACCCGCCCCAAAGACACCCAGCTAACTGCAGCAGGATCAGAAGCCGAGTCCGACTTCCAACTTCAAGTTCACCATCCCATAGCTGATTCCTTTCAAGTTGGAGGGATGGTCTGTTCTAAGCCTCACATGACCTCCGCATGAGCAAAATCTTTTCAAGGTAACTGGTGGAGATCTAGTTTAACCCTTAATTTGCACCCTTAATTTGTGCACCCTTAGTTTGTTCAATATGTGCACCCTTAATCTGCCTGCCCATGATCCAAAGACATCCAAGTTTTGAGATTTTCCCTCATCAGTCTACTTTAGCCACAGCTGAGACATCTTGGATGGAGACACGCTTCCACAAGTTTGCTCATATACATAAATAGAACTGTCTGCATATCCTGAAGACAAGTGCCAGGTGCTTGCACTCACAGACAATGCACTCACACACACTACGGCCTGTACAGATATGCACAAGCGAATTACATGAAAGCCCTCATAATGCTCACAGTTTCACAGTTTAAGCATCGAGTTTCATTGGTGAGCGTTCCCTGAAAAATCTCATGGACCCAGGTGAGTTCTGGTTTATTATTCTCTGCAGGTTCATTCATGTTGCCATTTTTTAATTTTCCATTTTGTTTTTCCTGTTTCTTCTCTTCCTGCAGGATGTCCGCAATAGTGTTTAGCAAATAATTTAGAAACTCGTGAGCATCCTGCTGCATGTAGTTATCAAAGAGATCTGGAAAAGAGAAGGTCATCGTTTCAGTCTCTGGTTCTTGAAAAGCAAACACGATGCTCCATTTTATACACCACGCTTCAGTTTCTATATTGAAATGTCCAGTGGACAGGTATCACATATATTCATCTCTATTTTCCAACTTTAATGGCTACATTTTAAAAGAATTTTGTTCATTTTTCTCACCACCCACCAAGAACTAAATTTCCCATGTCTCCTAAAAGTCATCATGTATATAAAAAGCTACCAAAATTTTTATTTGTTCTACAAAAAAAAAAAACCCAAGAAATTATTTGATAAGTTCCCTGATAAAATATCAATATTTAATATGATGTGACCACCAATGATCAATTATTCATTTTGCAATTTATCTAGAGCAAAAGGGGTCTCTTCCCAAAGATCATATTAAGCCCTGGACCAGACTGGAAGCAGCTTAAACGAAACACATATGGGAGATGAGGGATATATGTGTCTATCTGATAGTGTTCTGAAACCAAATACGAGTGATTCCAGAAGCCTACTGCTGTTCCCTGCCGTAGGGACAATCAAGAGACGAATGCAGCTGTGAAACTTCGTTATTAATCACGTTCGCGACAAGACTCGGGGGCGCTCTGCCTCCTGCTCACATTATTTTTATTCTGGCACGTATAAACTACAACAACGTTAAGAGACAGCAATCAAATTAAATGAGACTTTATAAAACAAACATCTGATTAACTGTGCAAGTCTGTTGGAGTAAGGCTGAAATCTAGGATAAACACAAGTTGCCATACCAACTATTTCTAGTCATAGAAATTACCAATGCAAATCTTCTGGAATAACCTAGTCCCCACCACCACTCCCCACCCCCCAAAACAAAACAAAAAAAAAA